TCACTGCTCCTGCTCCTGCAGCACTGAGTTCCCTGTGGGAGCTACATGCAGGAATTCCCTGTGGGAGTTCCCTGTGGGAGCTGGTTTAACCCCTGATGAGCACACAGCACGTTCTGCACTGCCCCAGCTGAGCTGAGGGCACTCAGAACTGGGCTGCCTCACAAAGCCATCCCTTCTGATGCCTGTGTAAAGGCTCTGTGTACCCAAAGCAGAGTTTTAAAACATGGTGCTGGTGCAAAGAAAGGCTGAAACCATTCAAGAAGGAGAGAGCCAGAGCTCCTCACAAGGCTGGGCAGGTCAGTGCTCTGGCAAAGGTGTTGAAACCTGCATTGCATGTGTTGTTATCTGGTCAGACTTGGCAAAACTGAGGTTTAGGTGTCAGTCTGGCCCTAGAAAGTTTAATCCTTTTTTGCCAGGCTGCAACATCAAGCAAATTTTTATTGTTCTCCTTCTGACTGCCAAGTGCATGGTTGATTGAGCAGTGAAGTTTGCTGCTGGTTGCTGCCAAGGTGTTTGTGGTTTTCAGTGCAAGCAACATAACAAGATCAAGCAGAAATTTTTAGTTGCAAGTAACAAATCTCTGCCAAGGCACATTTTAGTTTCCATTAGTATGGATACAAGTTCCATTCTCTCAGTGTTTCCATTCTTAGCTTCTTTCCCAAGTGCAGCAAACAGATTTCTTCTAAAAAGAAGTGCCTGTGGGAACATTTCAGGAGCTCCTAAGTGTCCCAGGTGTTCAGATGCCTAAGTTTCTCTTGACTACTTTTGAAAACTCCTCCCTGTGTGTCGTTGGCTCAGTGGAGAGAAGTGTCCTTTGGTGCCTGCTCTGAGCTGGGGTCACATGCAGACACTCCATTGTTGCTCCAGATGAATTGCTGTTTGTGTGGTAGAGAAAGGAAGAGACATGGACCATGAACCTCCACCAGGGGCCAGACCAGCCCCAGTCCTTGCCTTGGTGATGAGCTGTTCCTCAGAAGACAGAAGCACTGTGAGCCCAGCAGTGGTGGAACTTGTCCCTAGGCCCTGAGTGCCCAGCAGTGATGGCCCCAGGCTCTGTGATTGTGTTTTCCAGTGTCTGTTTCTTTCAGGTTTAAGTAGATGAGTGTTGGTATTGCCCAGCTGAGCTGGAATTGGGGGTTCCACACGTTCTGCTCTAAAGACTGAAGTGTGGGTGTTGTTCAGAGTCCTCCTCAGGACTGTGTCAAGGCATCAGGTGCTGGGAGTGGCACCTCAGCAGCACCTTTTGGGATCTGACAGCTAAAGGACCAAGTCCAGCCAAAGCAAATCCCACCTGGTGTGTCCCTGAGCCCAGGGTCAGTGTGGCCTCTGGAAGCATTCAGGCAGTTTATTCAACTGCAGCAGCCCCCCGTGGGAGTTACAGGCTCTCAGTGCCTGTAGAGTTTGTGATTCCCTGGACCTTCAGCATGGAATGCAAATTATCCAGCTCCCATGATTTCCATGCAGTTTTTACTACTTACCCACTGTAGTTTACTGGCTTTCCCAAGTCATTAATAATTTTGGATTTTAAATTTTGTTAGTAGAGCAAGTTCCATTGGAACACTGAATCAAATTTGAAAAGTGTTTGCTTTTCTTCCTCTCACAGTCACCTACTTCAAGTACAAGGTCAACTTTTGTCTTACTCTAGATGTACTGAAGTGCTCCTGTGCTGTGTATGAACCTCAGATGTATGGTTTCTGTATTAAAGTATGAATTATGACATGTTTGGCTCCTTTAAAAATTGTTTTAAATGTGGAATAGAACAGGCAGGGCATGGAGAGCTACAAGGTTTTGTTTCCTTGCTTCATTAAGTGTGGGTTGTGACTCCAAAGTCTCAGGAGCAGTTTGGCATCAGAGCCTGGTTTGCAGGGAGGTGTTCCCACCATTTGTGCTGAGGACCTCAAAGTTTCCTTCATCCCTACAGCTCATGGCAGTGATGCTCTAAAGGCAGCTCAGACAACGCTCCTTGCCCCACAGACTGCAGCATCTCTAACAAGCCCCAGTGGTTTTGGTGTGTTCTTCATTTTTATCTACTGGTCTTCAGAAGAAAGCAGCTTTGGAGCAGGTCTGCTTTGATTTCCATCTTCAGCCTTGGGTGTGCTTCCAGGCTTCTCCTGATGAAGGCAAGGGCACTGACACTTCAAACAAGGTGGGATTTGTGTGAGGACCTCACAGCACCTTCCACTGTCTGGAGGGGCTACAGGAAAAGTGCAGGACTCTTCATCAGGACCTGGACACTGTCAGAGGGCAGGAATACATGGGATACTGCCAAGGAATTGTTCCCTGGGAGGGTGGGCAGGCCCTGGCACAGGTGCCCAGAGCAGCTGGGGCTGCCCCTGGATCCCTGGCAGTGCCCAAGGCCAGGCTGGACAGGGCTGGGAGCAGCCTGGGATGGTGGAAGGTGTCCCTGCCATGGCAGGGGCTGGGAATGGATGAGCTTTAAACCCTTCCAACCCAAACCATTCCAGGATTCCCTGATTCCTGTTTGTAAAACACAGCATACCAACAAGGGTGTGTTTACTAAGAGGATTTTATTTACACAACACAATGAGATCGCTCCATAAAAAGTTGACTACACCTGCCAAATTGTACAGTGCAATTTTGTAACAGCTTTTAAATATTTACAGGACACTTTTTCAACTTAGAGGTTAAGGCAGAGTCAGGGCACAGTGATAAGAAACACTTAGTGCAGCTTTGTGCTAGGCATGATACAGAAATGAACTGGCAGCATAAAGTGTTCAGATCCATTGGAAATTCAGATTTACTTCTACAAATCCAGCAACTGCAGCTTAAAAAATAAAAAGAAGAGGTAAAGATACTAAGAACCTCAAAACACAAAAAAATGTAAAAACATTTGGCTACCATGGGAGATGTAACAGGCATACAACATCCTTCCTGTTAGCAATGAGTTATGGATCCTGGGAAGGAGATACTCTAAGAGACACTTTTTTCCCTAATGTTGGTAAAAAAACTGGAACAGGATGCAGGCTTACAGTGCACCTGGGATACAGAACCTCCCACTGCAAAGGTGTGTCCAGCAGCACTGGATTCAGACATCCAACTTTTGCTGGAAGACAACAGGAATGAGGTACCCAACTGCTCCTCGTGCCATTGAAAACTTCACCTTGGACTCCAGTGACACACCTGAGGGGTCCCACTTCAAACACAGCACTAAAAATGCACAATACACAGTACTAGAGAGTTGGTTTTTCACAGCAACTTACCACAACTTAAAATTGTTTCTCTTCTTCATCTTTGGTATTTATAAATAAAAATGCTGGTCCCTTTCAGTAAAGGGCTAAGAATGCAGCTATTATCTCAAAATCATTTGTTCCTAATCCACAGCAGCTTCAAAGGATTTTGATTTTTGTTTTTATTTTAAGGCAGTAACTAAGCTGTTAGGAATTGAAAAATAATGGTCTTAGATTAATTAATGGTTTATAAGGCAACATTTTTAAATGGCTAGAAGAAACTGCAGGATAAGGATGGAACAGTTTGAGAAGCTGGTATCAGTCCTTCATGCAAAGTCAGAAAGGAGCAGAATGTGGTGTGGGGACGAGCTGATGAAAGCCTGATCCTGTAAGTCATTCCTTCCCTTAGCCCTCATTCATCCGAGTGAGCCCTTCTGACCACAGAGATCCCGGCAATTCTGATTAAGGCTGGCTTTGCATTTCAGCTTGCTAGGATCCAACTGCTGCCTGAACTGCTTATGGCAATCAAACTCGTGACGAGCTGATGAAAGCCTGATCCTGTAAGTCATTCCTTCCCTTAGCCCTCATTCATCCGAGTGAGCCCTTCTGACCACAGAGATCCCGGCAATTCTGATTAAGGCTGGCTTTGCATTTCAGCTTGCTAGGATCCAACTGCTGCCTGAACTGCTTATGGCAATCATAAACTCGTAGGACATGCACAAAAAGCACAGGGGTGGTGAGGGGAGGACCCTGACCAGTTCTGGGCAGTGCTGGCAGTCCCCCACCAGTCCTTCAGGATGGCACTCGAGTCAAGAGACACCTGGGGAAGCATTCCCTAAAAACACCTATATTAAAAAAAAATTTATCCACTACAAATCCATTTTGTTTCATTTTCTAATTGAGAAAGTCAGGACTAAACAGACCTGGAAGCCTTTTTTTCTTTTTTTTTTCCCTGTGAAATATCACTGGAGCTTTGTCTTGTTTGTACTCCAGAGTTAGTGTTCAGCACCAAGAGAAGTTTGCAGGAATCAAGACAATTTGAATTGAGACACCATTTTAGAAAACTCATTGAATTGTATTTTTAATATCTGATTGTAAATTCCAGAATGGAACCATGCAGGCCCAAGGGTTAATGCCACCTGCCTCTGGAAGTGCAGAGTTAACTACACATGGGCACAACGTGGAGCTTATGATTAGAAAAACAAATTAGGAAAAGCTCAGCAGAATCCTCCCTCCCAAAATGCCGTCATTTCTGAGAGAGGCTTAGGCAAGGAAAGGCACTTTGGGGCTCTCCTGGACAGACCCTGATCAGAACTGAATGTACTTTTATAAATTAGAGTAGGCAACAGCCAACGAGTGGACACGCTGGGTTCCAGTGCCCCAAAAGTGACCCCGTGAGCACCATCCATGGAACACTCTGGGTACAGGTGGTACAGCCAGGGCAGCAAGGGCAGCTCTGTGAGGGAACACCAGGCAGGCTCCATCAGCAACACTCTGATCCTGTTCTGCTCCAAACCAACAGCAAAAAGGCCACAGAAGTTGGGTTTTGGCCTTTAAACCACTGGAGGTGCAGCAGAGAAACAGCAGCAGCCAGCCTGGGGAACCTCAGAGCTGGCCCAGCTGTGCACAACTTGCCCACCAAGGATCAGGATCCTGGAATTTCCCTCCCTCTGCTCTAATTCCAGACCCACTTATGTGACCAGCTGTAGTTTATCTGCATTGTTTATGGATCCATCCTGACACACAGTAACCAAAAACTCAGCGCTCGGTGGAGGAAATGGCCCATTTTCCCACTATTTAGGAAGGAAAGAGTGTTGTGTATTTTTTTAATTTAGAAAAAATATTAAATGGCTTGAGGGTCACTTAGTACCAAAAGTAAAGTGCACCAGAACTGGGGGCCACAGTGACAGAGCTGAGAAATGCTATTGAAGAGGCTTCCAGGGAGCATTATAAAAACAGCACTACAAAGTAAGGTTAAGGCAATCCGAGTTGTGTCCTTCTACTAGACAGTTTCCTGGAGAGTTGTCTGTCTCAAGCTTCAATTATTGCTTTGTTTCTTCTGTCCTGGAGTCCTCGACTGCTGGGCAAACAGTGCTGGCAGAATTGGCAGAGTGAGTTTGTCACTTAGTGCAGGACTGGATGCAATCCTATGGAATCCCATGCTTTGCAATGCCAAAGGGAAAGCTTGCTCTCATTTCCCAATGGACTGGACAGTCTGGCAAAGAATATAAAAAAAACTCTTGCTCCTGAAGCAGCAAAAGGTGCTGGCAGCAGAGATGATGCAAACATGTGGAATTTTTCAATGGCGCAGGGAAAAAAAAATCCTTAATAACAACAAGGTGTATAACAAAACAGGGTCCTGAAGTCTCCTCCAAGAGCTGATAGCCCTCAAGTTTCCTTAAAAAAAAAAAAGAACAAGTTCTTTTACGGGTATAAACCCAAAGTACAGCAAGAGAATTCCATGGCTCAGAAGTCCCAGGAAAAGCTGTGTTACTTCCCTCCTTTCATATAGGATGGAATTGCTCCTCGGGCCGTCAGCCCCTCGAAACGCTTGTAGGTGTAATTGATAAAAACCCAGTCTTTGTTCTTGTAGTCTGTCTCTGGGTGGTTGCTTGTTGCCACTGGGAAGACAGAGAAGAAATAGAATTAATTATCCTTTGGAGCTGCAGAGTTTATTTTCATACAAAACACTGGATGAATGTTTCTAAAGGAAAAAAATATCCTAAATGCAGATACAGCTTCATGCTTCAACCCCAGGAAAGAACTGCTGGGACACAGGACATGGCACAAGCATTGTAAGCTAGAAGGGGGTAGATTCAGACCACATAGAAGAAATTTATTACAAAGTGAGCTGTGAAACACTGGCACAGGGTGCCCAGAGAGGTGGTGGATGCCCCAATCTCTGGAAGTGTTCCAGGCCAGGCTGGACAGGCTTGGAGCGACCTGGGATAGTGGGAGGTGTCCCTGCCCATGGTGGGGAGCGGAGCGAGATGAGCTTTAAACTCTTCAAACCCAAACCAGTCTGGGATTCTGTTTTTCAACTCACTGAGCAAATGTGTGGCTATGCTGTGATGCTTCAGAGATTCACAGCAAAACATCCCCTTGAGTTCCACCCTTCCCCACCCCTACCCCAAGTGCCAGCAGGAATCAGCTCTGAGGGGAGCTTGCAGCACTGGGCTCTCAGCCCTGCTGAGATCTGAACTTTCTGGAAGCTCTGCTGCCTCTGAGAGCTGCCCTTTCTCAGGCAACTCCCTGCATCTCCTGGAACCCAAATTCCAGCTTGAACCCCTGCACCACAAGGCTTCCAGGCTATTTGGTCGTGATAAAAACCAAAATCAACATCTAGTACAATCTGACTAACAGGAAGGATTATTCTACAGGAGAAGAGGAAGGTTTACACAGAGAATCAAACAATCATTTACCTGTTGGTTTAAGGATATCAGATTCTGGAAATTCATCAAAGTTTGAGGTATCATCAATGCTTTTAATTTCTATTGAAATTGCAGCAGGTCTCTCTCTGCCAAGAAGAGCAGATGAAGCATTGAGATTTCAAAGGCAGACAAAGCAGGGTTCAGCCACTTTTCATGTCTTAACAGAATCAAGACTGAAGGTACCTAAACCTCAGCAAGCTTCAGGTAGAGAACAAAATGCTCTCACCCACAGCTGGATGTGATAAATGCCAGTCAGCTGCTCCCTGCTGCAGACCAGGGCTGGCCTGAGCAGCCCCTAGAGAAGAGCAGTTGCTTTTCTGCAAAGCATCTTACCTGATGTGCTCCCAATCAACCCCTTCAAAGAATGGGTTACTCTTTATTTCCTCCACACCAGATGCACCAATTCTGTGCTCCCATTCACAGCAAAATCTGGGATGGAAGGAAGAATGAAAATGAAGGGAGAATGAAAACGAAAGCATTCCATCAGAAATGGAACAGCTTTCTGAACTGATACTGCTGCAGTTTCTTAACATATAAATGGAGCAGACTAAGAACTTCACAGCAAAACCAACACACAAAGTTATGTACAGGAATGTCATGTCCAATGCCACAGTTCAGATGTGCTGTTCCTTCACAACAGGATAATGTGACCTTTCTATTTCAGGACCAGAGCAGAGAAGGAGAACATATAAAGCCTAAGAAACCAGACATTTATATTTCTGTCCTGAGAATAGATACTGAAGTACAAATGAGTCAGCAAGCACTGGGATACATTTGTATGCTCCAGTGCATACAAAGGCAAAATCATTGCTGTTGCAAGAAGTCAGCTCTGTCAAAAGGATTGAGCTTGTGTCCTTCCATGAGAAGCCTCCAGGCAAAATAAGGAGCAGAAACATTTTGCCAGAGTAGTAGCACTTCCATGGGAGCTCCTTTTTAGCACAGTTTAGTCAGGGAACCACTAAATGGCCTGAGAGACAAAAGTATTTGACAAAGGAGTTCAGCATTTGATGCATGTGTGTAACAGTTTGTAGCATCATGTGGAACGAGCCATGAGAGGCACAGAATACAGAGACAAGACAAGAAAGTTAGTGCTGTATGAACTGGCAAACCATGGGGCTGGCACCTTAAAATAAGATCCTTTGCTTTGTCAGAGATTGGAACCTCTGGAGGAAATGTCAGGGTCTCCTTCCAGTTCATCACTTTCTTATACGTCTCTTGAGGGGTCTCGGAGCAGAATGGTGGATAACCTGAAAAGAAACAAAAATATAATCTTAGATTGAGCAAAACTAATTCCTGAAGCCAGAACACACCACAGAGACCAGGCAAGGAGTGGATGCTCTGAGAATTTGACCCCAAGCACAGAAATTGGCTGCCCAGAGCAGCTGTGGCTGCCCCAGCCCTGGAAGTGCCCAAGGCCAGGCTGGATGGGGCTTGGAGCCACCTGGGACAGTGAAGGTGTCCCTGCCATGGCAGGGGGTGACAGGGATGAGCTTTAAGGTCCCTTCCAACCCAAACCAGTCTGGGATTCTATGAATACAGATGAATTCTATGAATATGATGTCCTGCTCCACCATTCCCACCCACAGCCTGCCCTGCCTGCTCCTTACCAATCAACATCTCGTACATGATGACCCCCAGGGACCACCAGTCACACAGCTTGTTGTATCCAGTCTGCATGAAAACCTCAGGAGCAATGTAATCTGGAGTTCCCACCGTAGAAAAAGCCTGGAACAAACACCATCAGTTATGCATCTGCAGGGAAAACTGCCTGACATGGACATAGCAACTTATACAACAGTGATTATTTTGAGCAAGACACCAGATTGTCTCTGAGATCCTTTAGCAAAGATGTTTAAAGCCTTTCTTCCAAGATATGTAGAGACAAAATTAACATCTTCATGTGAATGAGTCTTAAAATAGCACCAGGAAAACAGGGAAGGGTAACACCGTCCTGAATGGGTCACCTTGGAATGGGTCAGCAGCCCTTTGTGAGACTGGAAGTGGCAAGAACTGATCATTTTGGCTGGGAGACTTCAGATATCCATGTAAATAATTATGGCAGTGCTATCTCTAGCACATATGTCACAGCTGTTCAGCAGATGGATGAAGGACAAACTAGAGTCATTCCTCTTCTTTTTAAAAAATGCCTGAATCTTTTCCTTTCAGGATTGTCCAGAACTCAGATGCATTCAAAACTTCATGTAAATCCATGTTCCATGTGGATGCAACACCTCAGCAGGAACATCTCCAAGCAGGTGGAACCTACTCACCAGCTGCCGGCGATTCCTCTTCCAAGTCTCTGCCTTCCTCTTGGAATTCATGTTCTGGAAAGCTGAAGGAGATTCAATAGCTGTGACTGAATCCTGCTGCTCACCCAATATATTTTACCCCCAAACCATTACACTAAAGATCTCATTTAAGATGTGTGTCAATACCCCAAACCTAAACCTCTCAGAACTTCCAAACCTGTGAAATATGGGCAATATCTCACTGAGCCTTTCATGAGCAAACCATGCTTTCAGGGCTGATGTAACTCCATGATCCAAGTTCTTCCCATCCAGAACAATCCTGGATATTCAGAGACTGTGCTGGTTTATTCATGTCAGTAACACCTGAGATCCAGGCAGCAGCTACCAACTCACTGAGTTCTCAATTCATTACACATGCAAAGGCCACAGCAGAGTCTGCTTCAGAGACAGACTTCTGGAAATGAAAATGGGTCTAAAGTAACTGAAATGATTCTACAGAAAATGAAAATTCACCTCAAGATATAAAGCTGATTATTAACCTGAGATCCAGGCAGCAGCTACCAACTCACTGAGTTCTCAATTCATTACACATGCAAAGGGCTACAGCAGAGTCTGTCTCTGAGACAGACTTCTGGAAAGGAAAATGGGTTTAAAGTAACTGAAATGATTTTACAGAAAATGAAAATCCACCTCAAGATGTAAAGCTGATTATTGGACTCCTCACTGCAGCCATGCCCTCACACTGAAATGAGTTTTGTCAGGACCCAAGAGCAACCAACCAGATACCCTTTGGAGCCAAAGAACTTACTGAAGTCACTGGGAAGACTGTGATTCAAGTTCCTGTAAAATTCTGTCCTGTGGGCTTTCTTCAGTCCAGTACACAGACCAAAATCTGAGAGTTTCACATGGCCCTAGAAGTAAACGAAACAAAACAAAAAATATATAAAGTAAGGCATTATCATAGTAAATCACAGCATCAGCAAGGTTGGAAGAGAACCCAGCACCACCATCAACACCTCTGAATTATGTCCCCAAGTGCCACATCCAGATGCCTCTTGAACACTTCCAGAGACTGTGACTCCACCCCCTCCCTGAGCAATTTATTCCAGTGCATGACCACTCCTGCAGTGAAAAAAAAAACCTAAAATTTAATCTGAACCTCCCCAGCACATCTTAAGGCCAGTTCCTCTTGTTCTTTCACTTGAGGCATGGCAGAAGAGCCTGATCCCCACCTGGCTGCACCTTCCTGTCAGGGAGAGCAAGAAGGTCCCCCCGAGCCTTCCTTTTCTCCAGGCTGAGCCCCCTCAGGTGTCTCAGCCCCTCCTGGTGCTCCAGACCCTTCCCCAGCTCCATTCCCTTCTCTGGACATGCTCCAGCCCCTCAATGTCCTTTGCCCTCCTTGTGTAAACCCCACACTGGATGTGTACAGGGAATGAAGCCATCAATACTTCCATTGCTACTCCACAGAGAAAGCCCAGTGACAACTTACTTCAGGAATCCTCTGCTCTGCAAGTTCCCAACCCCTTCAGGGTGAAAGGGAACATCTCCAGAGGCAGCTGCAGTCCTGGGTTGTGTATTGGCCCCAGGAGATAAAAATCACCCTCAGTTCAGGGATTGAATCTGTCCTGGTGCAGAATGTGACCACACTGACTACAAGCAGTTTTTAGAAGGGTATATATAAAATACACCTCCTTCTCAAAGTCCTAAATGTAGTCATGTCTAGAGATGAACATTCTGAATTGGGCACACTGCTTGGAGCTGTGGCTGCCCCAGCCCTGGAAGTGTCCAAGGCCAGGCTGGACAGGCTTGGAGCACCCTGGGACAGCAGAAAGGTGCAACAGGATGAGTTTCAAGGTCCCTTCCAACCCAAACCATCCTGGGATTCTGCAGTAATTCCAACAGTGCATTGCATAGTAGTGGGAAAGCCTTTATTTACTGCTGGCAAACTCTTTCCAAGAAATCCTGATTTTAGGCAAACTTGGAGTGAGCAACAGGAGGGCACTGAAACAACTGGGATTTCTGCAAAGTGCCTGCAATAACCAGGCAGCCTGGGCAGCCCTCAGGGGTACACCCTGATCCTGAGGGATTCTCCACTCTCAGCCTGGCTACTGGAACAGCCACGTCCTTCACATTTGGTAGGACCAGAGCTGGCAAGTGGGAGTGTAACAGATGTGAGAGAAAAGGGAAACAGCTTTGCCTAAGAGGGAACTGAAACCACGTGCTTTAAACTGCATCTGAAATAGCCAAAAATAATTTAAACAGCTGTCAGAAGAGTTCAAGGTCTGAGTGGAGCTGGGGTCTTTCCTGGCTTTTGGGGATTTTCCCAGGCAATCTGGCAGACACATCCCTCAAAAGCTGGAAGGAACAGGGCTAAATAAAGAAGCACCATCTTCTTCCACAACTGTCAACACCCCTTCAGGTCAATATGAGCAATCACAAGGCCTCTTGGCTCCTCCCCAGCCCATACCTTGCTGTCCAGGAGGAGGTTGTCTGGTTTGATGTCACGATGGATGAATCCCAGCTGGTGGATGGAGTCAATGGCCAGCACGGTCTCAGCAATGTAGAACTGTGTCTCCTCCTCTGTCAGAGTGTCCTTCTTCATCAACAGTGTCATCATGTCACCTGGAAACCCCCAGAGGTGAACACACGGGCTCCACTCTCACTGAGTTTGAAGACATTTATAGAAAAAAAGCTATTTCTGCTGCATTCAGCTAAAATCAGCAGGTCAGAGGTTGCCAAACCTGGATATGCTCTGGCTCTATAGACAGCCAGGGCACAGCAAAGGTAGGAATTAGAATATTAAAGCCAAGTTTAAATAGAAGAATATTAAAGCTAAGTTTAAATCCCTGCAGCTTGAAGACCCAAACAGGAAACCTCAAGCCTGCCCAAACACCTCAGTACCCTAAAAAGCAGAAATCTTGTTCCCTTCCAGGTGTACAGTACAAACACCACGTGCACTCTAGTCCCAGACTGCGTTTGTAATGAAGGAATTGGCAATCCCCAAACAAAAGGAGGGCAGCCCTTGTGTTCCAGAGTTACCTCCAGGCAGGAACTCCATGATCAGGTAGAGGTTTAGCTTGTCCTGGAAACTATAGAACATCTTCACCACCCACAAGCTGTCTGCCTCCACCAGGATGTCCCGTTCTGCACGGATGTGGCCAACCTGGACAGACACAGTGCATTGGGTGAGTTTTATTAAATGCATTTATTTCACAGGCAATTCAATTATTATTCTGAACAGCATTGAATATTGAGAAGACAAAAGACAAATTTCTGCACAAGGGCAGAAACACTATCAGAACTTCAACATGTGGTTGATTATATTCATATATTTTATACCTATTATATATGCACCTAGTAAACCTATACATTATATAAATCCTATATACAAAAATCTCAATTCTTTACAAATACAACTAATCATTAGATCTCTTTTTAAAAATACAAGAGCTTCATCCCAGTGCTGAACATGTGACTGTCCCAGATCATTATATACCCAGAAGTACTACTAAAGGAAAGCCTTAAATATGTTAAATGCTGCTGCTTTATGTCTCTGAGTCTGAATTCCAGCAGTTCTATCTCTGATATTTACATCCAATCCTGTAAGTCAGAAGTGCAGTAAAACACTGGCCTTGAAGCCTGCACTGAATCGTTTGCACAGGACTTTGTGTTCAAAGAGCCCACTAGAAAAGAAGTGTGACTTCAGAGATTTTTCTGACTTATTTCCTCTATAAGAAAAGACAGAAAAACCCCCCAGAATTGTTAGCTACTAAAGCACAGAAGCCTATTCCTCCTCTGCACACACCCCGAGTGGTGCACGGCACAGCTCCTGCTCGGGGTGTTCCTCACCTGCTCCTTCTCAAGCATGTCAGCCTTGCGTAGGATCTTCATGGCATAAACGTGCCCCGTGTCCTTCTTCTGCACCAGGCGCACCTGGGGGCACACAGACACTGCATCAAAGCCAGCACTCCCAGCACAGCTCCTCACAAAGCTGGGGATCAAGCCCCTGGCTTCCATTGCATGAAATCATCTCAGATTGTAAAACAAAAGAAGCATCAGACAGTGAACAGAAATGGCAGAAAATCCAGTTAATGCTAAGAGCTGCTGTTATTTTTACAGGGCACCATAAGTGATTCACACCTGTAGGAAATAAACTTTTAAGAATTCTCTACAAATCTAATAGAAAGTTCACATAGTATACTATTGTATGTAAACTTTGAGATAAGAAATATTAACTTAGAAATATTATGGAATAGGATAAACGTTGTTGAGAGAAAAACAGATTTAGAAATAAGTTTTAAAATAAATACATTGTAGTAAGACCCACAAAGAATAATTTTAGATAACTAGCTTTAAAGCATTTACAACATAGAGTAGCAAAAACTGATAGACCAAGAAACATTTATTGTAAGTAACAAATAGTTAACTTCTGATTGTGATGGCATAAATTATAACATCTGTATTGTCTCACACCTCACATGAAACTAAAAACAGAATAAAAGTTTTTAAAACACCTCTCAATTACCCCATCTCTAAATCAGAAAAAAAGACAACACCTAAAGCAGGTGGTCCAAAGCCCCTTCTCTTCAGGCCACCAGAAGAGACTTTGCATGGGCCCTCCACCCCTCCCCAAGTCCAGCCCCAGAAGTTCACCTTTAAAACCCACTGCAAACCTATATTTAGCTGTCCATCAGATCATTTTCAACATCATTCTGTTTCCTTTAAAGGAAACCAGCATTTATTAGGTAAAAAAAAATCTGCACGTGACTGTTCAGCTAAAGTCAATCTGTGGTTGTTCTTGTTGCTTTTATATAAACTGAGCAAGTCTTTAACAAACACCAGAGCCAGTTAAAAACACACACAGCCATTTTTTCCTGGACTCACCTCTCCAAATGCTCCTCTGCCTATGACTTTGAGAGACTCAAAGTCCTCCAGTCCAAGCCTGGTTCTCTTCAGGCGAAGGAACTCCGTCTCCTTCTGTGCATGTGCCGACCTCCTGATTCTTTTCTAGAGTTTAAGAGACCCCAGTCAGAGCTCTGCAGGTGGGTTCCACAGGGACCACAGCAATTCCAAGGAAAGATCCCAGATCTCCATTTAGAAAAAGAAAATTGCTTGTATTTAACCATTAAGATAGTTTTTTCCATATTCATTACCTCTTCGTCTTTCAGGCCTTCTTCTTCCATCATTTGTTCTAGTTTCTTTTGTCTAGAGCAGAGACAAAAATAAAGGTTGAATCATTAACCTTGCTTTTTAAATTAAATCAGAAAAAAACCCCAGGTTGAATCATTAATGTTGTTTCTTAACAAGGTGCACATATCCACAGCCTCTGCTCTGTGCCAGCAAGTTACGAGGGTAAAGATGTACAAGAGACTCAGACAGGAAATTAATTCTGAAGAATCTGCTATCCAGTTTTATAATTCCAACCCTGTCCTCTCTGATTTTAATAAACTAAACCTGCCTTGAGTTCCACAAGTTATGCAGTACATTTTTGCTGAACACAAATACAAATTGATAGATCTGGGTTCTGTTCGTGTCTCTCTGACAGCTTGGCAAGTCACTTCAGGCCAGAGCCATAAGAAGCATTTAAACATCAAAATTTCACTTATTCCAGGAAGAATTGGTATCTAAACACATCTAAAATTGCATCTCAAACTGTTCACATGCAAGATGAGAAAAGTTATTTTAGCTTTCCTAATCCCTGAAATACTCAAAATATTTGGGAAGAGGAAACTTGTCTGTACATGATGTGCCCCTTAAAGAATCAGAAATATTTACAGTCTTAGTACAAAGGGATTATTTGGAAGAAAAGAAAGGAGGAAGCAAGACTTTAGAAGGGGAATGACTTCAGGGGACGTTTGTAATGATTCTCCTCTGGGAACTTTTTTCCCAGTGCCAGTCATATTAACAGCTGGCTGAACAGGGCCTGGTGGTGTGGGACATTACAAATGTAAAAAATTCCTTCTCTTTCTGCAAGTCATTCTTTGCAAGAACCTTCTCCTGTCTCCTGGAGCTCTCTGCAGCTGCTGTGATGTGATAATATTTGGGGTTATCACTTCAGAATCAGGCACAATGAAAATGCCCTTGCTCAAGTACCAGTGACCCCAACCCACACTCAACCCAGCAACTCCAGCAGCAAAGTCTGTGCAATACACAGAATTAAACAGCTCAGCAGGACTGAGTGATGCCAAAGCCATGCTGAAATTCCCCCAAATATCCCTAACAGGGTCAATCTGCACCTCAGAGTACAGTGTCAACACAGTTTAAACTCCAAATTACACACCCACAGACATGTGTTGTTACAAAAAACAAGTAACTTATAAAGCCCAGTCTGTTTGTTCAGACAAGGCCTTGATCCTAAACAGAAAAAAAAAAAAGAGATTTTTGGGAATACACAACAGGGCTCATAATAAGTAAATAAATTTTAAAGGTAAGAGCTGTGTGAGTAGAAAGAAACTAATTAAATCAGTGATATTTTCCACCTGAATTGGACCTCAGTCTCTCTTTACTCATCAGAAGCTTTGAAGCAAATACCTTTGCACGTTAGTATTTATTTCTAAATTGCTTCCTTGTTTCTGCAGCTCTTGCAGTGAGCAGGCATTGGGGAGCTCCCTGGGGAGCTTGTTAAGCAGCAAAGCCAAACCAACACTGAACCATTTTCCAAATTCTGGTTATAGACTCCATGGCAAGCTGGGAGAGCAGCAGAAGTCCCAGTGCTACAGCTTGAGGATATTCAGGAAATTAAAGGGTTCCAGGCCAAGTTAAGCCACACAGCTCAGGGCAGTCCATTGCTGGACTGGACTTAAAGAGGTGCCCAGGCTCAGGTCAGTCCCAGCACTGAGTGACTCCTCTCAACAGCCCCTCCTTGGCTCCCTGCACTGCCCTCCTGCACATCCTGCACACGGGTCAGGGCAATCCCAGCACAAACCCAGGGAATGGCACAAGGATTTGGGGGTGCTGCTGAGGCAGAGCTGGGCGTGCCCCTGGGCTGATCCCCCAGCGTGGGCAGCATTTCAGGGGGATTCTGTCCCTCTGCTCTGCTCAGGTGAGACCCCACCTGCAGCCCCGGGGCCAGGAAGGAGCTGGAGCTGCTGGAAAGAGTCCAGAGGAAGCCATGGAGATGCTCCAAGGGCTGAGGCCAGGCTGGGAGAGCTGGGAATGCCCAGCCTGGAGAGGAGGAGGCTCTGGGGAGCTCAGGGCCTGAAGGGGCTCCAAGAGAGATGGAGAGGGACTGTGAACAAGGCTCTGGAAGGACAGACCAAGAGGGAAGGGCTTCCCACTGCCACAGGGCAGGGATAGATGGAATACTGGGAAAGAATTTTCCCTGTGAGGGTGACAGGCCCTGGCACAGGGTGCCCAGAGCAGCTGGGGCTGCCCCTGGATCCCTGGCAGTGCCCAAGGCCAGGCTGGACAGGGCTTGGAGTAACCTGGGACAGTGGGAGGTGTCCCTGCCATGAGAAAGGGTGGAACTGGATGAGCTTTAAGGTCCCTTCCAACACAACCCAGTCTGTAATTTTATTCTTTTTGCTTTTAAAATGAAATCAATTCAATATAAAGTTTGGCTCCTAACCAGTATGGAAGGGAAACAAGAAGGATTTTTACCTCATCTCTCGCTCCTCGTGCTGAGCTATGAGGTTGCTGTAGAAGTTTTCCAATGTCACCTTTGTCATTGTGACTCTCTCCTTGGTGTGGTTACTCATGGATGAGCACGGTGTAGGGCCTGTCATGGCCATGGCTGGCAGGAAAGGAGAAGAGAAAACACTATAAATGACAAATAATCTTCAAACAAGAATCCATACCCATTAAGTGATGCTTAATCACAGAGTTCAGATTTTAACAACAACCACCACCAGTCTAAGCTAAGCAGGGAAAAGTCTTACAAAATAAAAGGTACAAGTCAAACTTCCTGTTTTGAACATTTTTTGATCTGAAATTAGAGGGAAGGAAACTTAAGAAACTTTGTGCCTCAAAAACCACAATTTCAGCCAGCACTGCAAATGTTTATTGCTCCCACCACAATCTATCTTTAATGAATGCTCAAAATTCAGGAATATCACACTGAAACATCTAATCCAGAAGTTATTCTTCCCATAACCCTTGCAGAAATAATTCCCTGGCTCTTCTGCTGTGAAATCTATCTAAATCCTGAAAGTCATCCCAATAAGAGAGCAACTGAGGAATGAGCAAAAAGGGCATTTAGTTGCCCTTAAGCACTTTTACTAGATGTTTTCTCACAGAAATTCAGCCAAATCCAGAGGATCACTGCCTTTGAACAAGTTGTAGTTTAAAAAATATCCAAAAACCCAAATCCTAGTGTAAGTATCTGACATATTTATTTCTAAGAAAGATATATATATTTTAATATTCTGTTTCTGAGAATACAGGTTATAAATACTGGAGTGTGGCACCCCCAAGCAGTAGCAGATTCAGTGTATTTAACACCCCAGCTCTATTTCCAGATATACATTAAAAAACCCCAAAGATTTCAAATCTACAATTACACCTTACCCTGCTTCTCCTGTGCACCACACAACTCGCAGTAAGGTAACAGAGTTTTGCAACTATTACTAGAAATTGCAGACAAAATAGGTGAGACACTTCCCGTTTTTGTAACCCTGGGCGCTGCCAGCACACTCGAATGACTCTTTCTGTTCACTTTTTGCAGACCTTTACGAGGCATCACCACGGAGCCCTGCCAACCTCCTCCTTCCCAGACAGGAGTTACGTGTGTGCTGACTTCACAGGCTCCCGTGGGACAGGAGCTGGTGACCATCGCCAGCTGGAGACTTTTGAGATGGAATCATGGCTTTATGTGAGGCGAAATCATGGCTTTATGCAAGAGCAGAGACAAATGGGGGGGTCACACTCTGAGAGTACCCCTGGAGCTCCCGTGGGACAGGAGCTGGTGACCATCGCCAGCTGGAGACTTTTGAGATGGAATCATGGCTTTATACAAGAGCACAGACAAAGGGGGGGGTCACACTCTGCGAGTACCCCTGGGTATGGGGTTACACCCCAAGAGATGAGTGCTTACACTCCCAGAAATGGGGGCTGCACCCCGGAGATGGGGGAGCTGCACCCCCGGAGACGGGGTTAGACACTCTGCGGCTGCGAGTGGGAGGTGTAAAAGCCACGGGCGGTTTTCACCGCCTAGAGAACAAACCAGGAAAATTATCTGACAGAAAGGGGCGCAGGGAAAAAGAAAAGCGAAAGTATCGGTGCCAAAGCACCTGTTGGTGCTCGGGGCCCTTACCCGGGATGGGCGCTCGGAGCCCCCGATGGGCACGGAGCGGGGCCGGGGCTCGGCCGGGGGTGGCACCGGCGTGGCACCGCGGTGGCCCCGAGCGGGCCGGCAGCATCCCCGGCAGCGGACAAAGGGGGCCCGAGCCACCGGCACGGGAGCAGCAGCGGGGACCCTGCGGCCCCGAGGAGCCCCGGCCCGCAGCCCCCGGCACACCGCCGCCGCTCCCCGGAGCGGCGAAGGGCCCGCGGGGAGCGAGGGAAAGATGGAAAGAGGAGGGCGGGGAGAGGATGCGGAGCGCCCGGAGGAACGAGGCGGGAGCGGCTTACCCGGAGCCCCCGGGAGGGGCGGCAGAGCTGCAGGCGAGGCGGCCGCGGAGCGGCGGGTGGGGGGCTCAGGACCGCCGGAGCCCCCCGCAGCCACAGCGAGCCGGCCGGGACGGGCGGCCCTGAGGGAGTGGAACGGGCCGGGCTGTGGGGCTGGAGCCGGCCCGGCTGAGGGAGTGGAACGGGCTCAGCTGAGGGGCTGGAGCCGGCCCGGCTGAGGGGGCTGGAGCCGGGCCGGCTCGGCCCCCGCGCTCCGCCGGGCCGGGCGCAGGCACCCGCGCTGGCAGCTCGGGGGTGCCGGCCCGCCGGCGGTGTCGGTGTGGCACGGTTGGGACGTGCACGATACGCAGAGAATCGTGCTTTAATTCGCCCGTACAGAGTAACACAGCAGAAGGCTTCAAGCGTCTGCTCATACAGAGTAACATCAGGTCGCTTCAGAAGGCTGCGGGAGTCTGCCCTTTCTTGTTCTTCAGCGCAACCCTTTATACCCGTACCGTACAGGCACTGCACCTGTGTGCCCCATAAATCCTGCCCTATAGCTCCACTGTGCCCCATAGATCCTGTCTGCCCCAGAGATCCTGAAATCCTGCCTCAGCTTCAGCGCAACCCTTTATACCCGTACCGTACAGGCACTGCACCTGTGTGCCCCATAAATCCTGCCCTATAGCTCCACTGTGCCCCATAGATCCTGTCGCCCCAGAGATCCTGAAATCCTGCCTCATAGATTCCATCTGCTCCATAGATCCTGAAATTCTGCCCCACAGATTCCTTCTGCCCTATGGATCCCCCGTGCCTCCTAGATCCTGTCTGCCCCATAGATTCCTTCTGCCCCAGAGATCCTGCCCTATAGATCCCCTGTACCCCACAGATTCCTTGCCCTGTGTGGTTGAGCAGCGCTCCTGGGCACTCCATGGCTCATTACCTTCAGCAGTGCTCACCTGGCCTGCACAGCTGCAGCCTGCTGGGATGAGCCCCTCTCCCACTGATCACAAACTGTGTGTCTACACTGCCCTGCTGCTAGGATGCTCCTGGGGTGCTCTTCCCAGCGTGGAAACCCTGTCCTGGCTGCCTTTCCAACGTACCTCCTTCCCAGAGTGGTGCTGTGCCCTGCTCCCAGCACGCAGCCTGGGCTCACCGTGGAGGGGAGGGTGGTTTTCTCATCCCCACAGGGGTGATACACATCACTCAATAGCCACAGGAGCAAGGTGTGCCAGGGACAGAGGCCACCAAGCCACCTCTGCCTCTCAGGGATCAAGGAAAAACCCCTCAGTCCCCAAGGAAACTGCATCTACAAGGATGGAGAGGCTGATCCACAGTGTGCTGGGCAGGACAGGATCATTTCCCAGAGGTCTGAGCTGTCACAGTCGGGTGCCCGGGGCTCCATCCTCTAACTGATGAGGAAGAGCTCTCACATTCCAGCTCAGCAAACTCATTGTACAGCTTGGGCTGCACAACCCATTTTCATCTCACTCCTCCCAACTCGTCTGAAATGTCTGAAACCATCAGCTTCAATAATGGTTTGACTGGAGAACCTAATAGGGAGCTGTGAGGAATGACATAACAAAAGAAATGTGATCCCATACTCATCCAGGTGTGTGGAGACACTGGGAAAATGTCATTGTGCTTCATTTTATTTACATTTCTACCAAAAAAAATTAAAAACCAGGTGCAATTAAGAGGGTGAAAAGGGTTTTTATTATTGACATTTTAATCACTGAGAGCTACATTCAGCACAGTTGAAGTCTATCAGCAATAGAGGAAATTTTTCAGGATTTAAAACAGCGTCCCTACACAATGGAAAAGCTGATATATTTGTAACACACATCACAGATTTAACTTCTGAAAGACTGACTTTACAGTTAAAGTGGACTTTGCTTTGCTTAGACAGACATGATCTGTTTGTTATCAAAGGTGAACAGCAAAATCCAGTGGTACCTCTCAGGACACACAGGTGGCCTCATGAATCTGTTGTCCTGCTGCTGTGGGAGCTCTTGGAGGTGATTTCACTTGAGGAAAGAAAATGAAGTGTGGAACAAAAGGCTCAAAGAGGGACCCTGAAAGCTCATTCTCATCTCCTCCACCAGCAGAACAAGGTGGGTGTCTGGGGCTTTGCTGAATGGGGACCACTGCCAACTTCTACCCGAGAAAACAAAGGAAAACCTGAGGGTCTGAGATGTTTAAAACAGTGTGCATGCTGAGGGAGCAGGGAAAATCCTTTGTAATTCAGTATAAGAAAAATGACTACTAGAGCAGAGTGTGAAGTTGCTGCAGGCAGGTGTGAATGGAAGAGAACCTGTATTAAAGTTCTTGGTCAAAACATTGGGCTGTGAATGTGCAGATTAATGACCCAAACTTCCTGCTAGGGTGAGCTCCAGGAGCCCCAGCTGGGTGGATGGGATGGGATGGGATGGGATGGGATGGGATGGGATGGGGATGGGATGGGGATGGATGGATGGGACAGATAGGATGGGATGGATGGATGGATGGATGGATGGATGGATGGGATGATGGAGGGCCCTGGTGGGGGAAGAGAGGGGACCTGTTGGAGTTCTGGATCTCACAGTCAGAGTGCTCAGATGGGAGAAGACCCTAACCCTGACCCTAACTCTCTGTGGGAGGGTCTCTGAGAACACCTGGAGGAGTGAGTGCCCTTAAGGGTTTTCATTTTGCTGTTCCCCTTTGTTCTGGAGCTGTTCCCTCCAGCAGTGCCCGTGTAAAGCGAGGCACAGACGCTGGGCTGACACTGCTGGGAGTGGTCAAAGGGGCTCGAAAAGGCGCTGTGGGTTCCAGTTACCCTCTGGGATCCTCCCATCCAGCTTTAGTGGGAGCAGGCCCTGAGCTTCCATCGGTCCCAGCAGCTGGCTGGAAGCTGGAGTCCTCACCAGGCTGGAAGCCTCACCTCCCTCGCTGCTGTTGGAATCGGAGGGATCTCGGCTCTTCTGCACGTCCCAGCCGGCGCTGGGCAGCGGGATTTCCCGGCTGCTGGCGGTGTGCACGGCACCCAGGGCGTGCTGCAGCCACAGCAGCCGCTTCAGCCCTTGCACCGCCCTCCCCTTGTCGTGCAGCAGCTGGTGCTCGGCCAGTGCCCTCCTGCTGCAGGGAGGAACGCCAGTCAGGCCGGGGATGCTGCTTCGCATCCGTCGGTCCCCGACGCTTCTCTGCGCTGGGGAAGCAGCGCTGTCTCGGGATCGCCTCTGGTCGAGGTGACCCCGAGTGTAGCTATGATATTTTATGAAAAATCCTCTGCTAGGATTTTTCCCGTCCTGAGGAGCTGAGAGCCTCAGGAAAGAAATGTAAACAATATTTGCTGCTGTGGAATGCAACAGGTGCGTCTTCCCTTGGTCCATGTGGATTGTTTTCAATTAGTGACCAGTCACAGCCCCCTGTGCCAAGGCTGTGAGCAGTCACAGGATTTTGTTATGCATTCCTATTCTATTCTTGTCTTTGTAGCCTTCTGATCTTCTTCTCTCTCTGTTCTTTTAGTATAGTTTTAATGTAGTATTTTAGTATAATACATAACATAATAAATCAGCCTTCTGAGCAAAATGGAGTCAAGCCTCGTGTCCTCGCACATGGGGTGTCTGCCAAGACAAGACCCGAGCTGTGATAAAAGCCTCTTTTCCCCAACCCAACTGTCGAAGAAAAAGTCAGAAGTCTTCGGCTCACGTTCTCAAGGTTGTTTATTATTTCTTATCTAAAACATTTTCTGTCTGGCCTGCTGACAGGTCAGTCTGAGGCACGCTGCACTCCCGCAGGGCTGGTGTTGTCTTTTATTCTACAAACCACATATTTGATATTTACAGTTATGTTCCAATACCTATCACCTGTGTTATATGTTACACCTATGTTAGACAGTGACTTCCTACTCTACACCAATCCCAAAGTGCCACCATCTCCATGAAGATGGAAGCTAGGAAGAAGAAGAAAGAAGGACAGGACAGTGCCCAAATCCCTCCATCTTGTCCCCTAGATCCCCATAGTAAAATTCTTCAAAATTTCACCTTTCACCCTGTGACAACTACTGTTATGCTACTTAAACTTTTGTGACCTGCAATTCTTCATATAAAGTTGGTAATTTGCTCCATGGGTTGAGATTGAATTCCCAAGTGTCTTTGGTTTCCTGCCAGGGTCTCTGAGCCCCTGCCAGGATTTTGAGCCATCCAGGGCACCCAGAGGGATGTCCTGGGTTCTGACACACTGGAGGTGCCTCAGGCTCCAGCAGCCTGTCAGGAAGCCTAAAAATTCCTGCAGATGGGATGCTTGTGGGGACTTTAAAGGAATTTTGAATTAATTTAGAGATGGGACTTTTTAGTTGTTTTAGATGGTGTGATTTTTTTTTAATCTTCTGCATAGGCAGGAAGGGTGAGTTTGGGTCACATCTTCACTCAGAAGGCTCAGAAAGTCTCAAGACTGAGCCATCCAGGGCACCCAGAGGGATGTCCTGGGTTCTGACACACTGGAGGTGCCTCAGGCTCCAGCAGCCTGTCAGGAAGCCTAAAAATTCCTGCAGATGGGATGCTTGTGGGGACTTTAAAGGAATTTTGAATTAATTTAGAGATGGGACTTTTTAGTTGTTTTAGATGGTGTGATTTTTTTTTAATCTTCTGCATAGGCAGGAAGGGTGAGTTTGGGTCACATCTTCACTCAGAAGGCTCAGAAAGTCTCAAGACCTCTAGTTATAAGACTTTTTAAGGATTTATTAACTAATAAAACACTGTCAACAAGGATATTTATGGTTTTTACTTAATCTTTAAATATTTCCTCTTATGGACTCATGCTACAGTGTAAGCTTTCTTAGCCAATTATGTTTTGACATACAAACCTACAGTACTTTAAAACTCTAAACTTTCTTCTACTTAGTTTAATGTGTCTCTGCTTTAAACTATAAATCCACATTCTCACTTCTAGCACCTCAGTTTGGAAGCCTTTTCTAAAGTATAAGATCAAATCCTGTGTTTAATTCTAAGCTTTGGCTTGCAGGCCCAAAGTTCTGAGAGTTCCCTGCATTTCAGATTCCAACAGAGCTGAAATGCTGTGCTGTTCCCAAAGCTGTGCCTTGAATCTCCTCTTTCTTAAGGAAGCTAAACTGGGGAGACTGACAGTTTGGTCTTTCCCAAATTTAGATTCTTTTCAGAGGTTTCAATAGCAGAATAAGGCTCCCTTTCCATCACCTCAGTGTTACAGAATTCTTGGGTTTGTTTCTTTCCTTCCAGAGTTGAAACTCAGGAGTGATTTGCCTGAAATCACTGATGTCCATGAAATAAAACCAAACTCCTATTTTGTTCAGATACAGCAAAATTTTTGAGTCAACTGTTGACTGAGGAGGGCAGGCTAAATCTCAGATGCAAATGTTTCAGGATTCCAGGCTGCTTAGATAAGATCTAACTGCAGCTATAGGCTCCTACTGCAGATTTGGATCTGAATGGGAACCTAAATATGGAATTTCATGTGCCATCTCCATGGCTTCTGTTGAACATCCTTATGTGATTTGCCACACTGTTTAAAAGTGACAGCTGAGATGTGGTCCATGTTACACATCTAAAAATGCAATTGGTCTAATTTTATACTGCAGAGAGGGTGAAGTAAAATGGTTCTGTATCAAATACATCAAATTTTTCTTCTGCCATGCCTGGAGTATCTAAGAGCAGTGCAGAACACAGCCCATGAAATCAAAAGTGAGCAGTTTTCTAATGATATCAATGAAAAAAAAAGGTAATATTACTTACGTTTCAAGGTCTTGGCCCATTGCAAAACAAGCAAAAAAAAGAATTGCCAAAAATGTAACTGTCTGCAGAGATCTCTGGGGCAGGAACATTTTCTCTCTTCTTTAAATCAGCTCCACAGGACCAGAAGCTGACAATGTGATCAGAAATCTTTTTCTCTGTTCTTGCTTTCACCTGACAAAATGAATTTCAGCCTTTAAGCAAGGGTGAGAGTGGAGCACTGTGCTGTGGTAAAACACCCCAGGACCTCCCACATCATCCCAGACCCGTGGATTTGTAAAGTACACAGGAAAGGATGGACAGGATTCACAGGATACTTATGCATTTCCTTGCTTACAGTCCTAAATCTCCTTTCCCACTGTTGCCTCCCAACATTTTGAACTCTTGTGCATTTGCAAGCACAGAAAATCATTTTAGGACTTGGAAGAGACTCTCCTGATCAAAAAAACTTCACAGCAATTTGACACAAAGATCAGGATTGCTGAAAATCAAGAAACACAAAAGGTATTTAAGGTGGAACAGGAATATCAAGTTAAAACATGTTCATAGCCCTGGGGTTTGGGCCTTCAATAACACAACTTTTCCATGAGCAAGACAAGTGCTGACACCCAAATATCCAGGATTATATTAGTCTGATGCTGGATTTCTTTTCTGTGAAGAAGTGGATTTCTGGCTTAGGGAAGGTACAACTAGAAGATATAATTGTGCAATTAAAAATTATTATTTTAATCTGTGTTATCATTTCATCCAGCTCTAGATCTGCTCATGGCATTGGTACACCCATACCTACCCATCCCTTCAACCCCACCACACCTTTATTGCCGGGTCTAGCCCTAAAATTTCTGCATTTTTGGTGCTAATGACAGAACACTGCTTTAGGATTGGCTCCAGCCAATTGGCTCCCTTTATTCCTGTATTAATTGTTACATCAAAACCTGGAGGAACCACAAAACAAAAGCTGTAGCATTAAAATGGTTATGTGAGAGTAGTAAAGACAAGTTCCTGTACAATTTTTTGTAGGAATAATTCTGTGCAGAAGAAATTTGGGATAATAAAAAAACCTCAGCATCTCCTCAAAAGACTTGTCTTTATACTTGAATATTGTCAGTGGCTGGATAACAAAGCAAATTATACATTAATAGAACATAAATACACATCAGTTCTGTGTTTGCTTGTAACAAGTTTGTTCTTAATAATACTGCCCTAGTAATTTGTGAGTAATTTTCTTGGGCAATATGCAGAAATCAAACTAGATGTGAAATAACAAGTGGGTATTAGTTCTGATGAAAAACACATGTATTAAATGCAGATACATGCACATAAATATACATAGAGATGTGTGTATTAAATGCTGAGGGATATTTGAAGTTATGCTAATGCAGAACTGCTCAGACACAATAAAGAAATGACACTTTGCTACTGTGATCAACACTAAACTCTACATTAATTAAAAGCATCTCCCAGCTACAAAAGGAACATTATGCACTTACTGATGGTGGTGTTTGGGTCCCAGGGAAGTCCTGACCTGCAGAGTCTCCTGCCAGCCTGTGGTGATGCTCCAGTGCAGTGACACCAAGTGCCCTTGAGCACCTTTTATAGCAGCCCAGAGAGCTCAGGAACAAAAGGAATGGGCTGCACAGCCCTCTGTGACTAAGACCTTGTGCCAGGGAGATGAGACAGCTCCAGCAATAATAAATCTTGGATTTTAAAATATTCAGCTCTGACTAAGGACAAGATCACAGCTTTGCAGGCAGTTTCTTCTTCCTTTGCAGTCTCTCCTGTTTTGTGAGAACTTTTGATTCTGACAGAGCTTTGCTCTGCCCCAAGATGATGGACAGGGGATATCCAACTGTTCCAGGGCTGATCAGGAAAAGTGTCTCTGGTGTGGAAATGGATTTTGCTCCTTTTCTGTTCTCATGGCTCAGGTGTGGACCCTGAGTTGGGTAAGAGGATCTAAATTAACAGTACTGGTGACACCTGCAATGTACAGTCAGCAAAGCCCAGTTACAGAATCACAGAATGAACCAGGTTGGAAAAGACCTTTAAGATCATCTAGTCCAACCTATATCCTAACACCTCCTCACCAACTAAACCACAGCACTGAGTGCCACATCCAGGCTTTTTTAAACACACCCAGGATGGTGTCTCCACCACCTCCCTGGGCAGACAATTCCAGTGCCCAATCACTCAGTTAAGAATTTTTTCTGGTGTCCAACCTAAACTTCCCCTGGTGCAGCTTGAGGCTGTGTCCTCTTGTTCTGTTCATGGTTGTCTGGGAGCAGAGACCCCCATCTGACCACAGCCACCTTTCAGGGAGTTGTAGAGAGTGATGTCACCTCTGAATCTCCTTTTTTCCAGGGTAAACAACCCCAGCTCCCTCAGCCATTCTTCACAGGGCTTGTGTTCCAAGCCCTTCACCAGCTTTGTTTCCCTCCTCTGGACATGTTCAAGCAAGCTCAAGTTACTCACAGAAAATCTCAGGAGCTGGTGAATAATAAAATCCCAGAGTGGTTAGACTGGAAGGGACCTTAAAGCCCACCATCCCACCCCTGCCGTGGCAGG